CTCGAACTCTACATCGGATTGACATCAAAAAGGCATGTGGACTTTTCAGGCAAATGCATAACCGAAAAATTTAGGTCAAACTGGGCGCATGTGGTGACTCTGGTTGATGCCATTCTAAAAGTCATCATGTACACCGAAGTGAGGGTGGGGAAGCGACCAGCCAGACGGACAACATGTTGTCTACCTCGGGGAAGGAGTGACTCGTGGCTCGGTTGTCATATTGAACCGATAAACCTCCTCAGGGCGTTTCGGCGATGGTAGCCCCCAGGATAAGAGCCCTCGAGAACCGGCGAGGCTTTCGAGGCCGAGTTGGGCCAGCTCCCCTAGAGACAGCCAGATGTGTTCTCGGGGCTCGCAGTCCATACGGCGAGTATGCAACAGAGTGGTGCAGGACTCACCGGGGATGGTAGGAGAGTTCTGCTTTCCGGTGAACTTAGAGGCTAGGGTGTAGGTGGGTTTTGATTTGTTTAGAAAGACGATGAGAAATGGCCCGAGGTGGTCATGAGTCACAATATAACCAACACTCAGAGGCATTACTTCGGCTCAGTTCACCCAACCTCCACAAACAACTTATTCAAAGAAAATAGAATACAAAATCCCAACAGGTAAAATGTGCCCTACCAACCGCACAGCAACCCCATATAATGGCAGATTTTGGCTTTTCGTGAGTCATTTGCCCTGAGTTAGAACTCATGGAAGAAGCAGAGGCTTTCTCTCAAAATGTAGACGTGTGTGATCAGAGTCAGACACTGGAAAGGGATGCTGACAAACGATGAGGATTGTTGAGCTTGCTTCCATTTCGAGTAGAAGTGTTGGGTGAAGCGATTCGAAGGTCGGTTGCACCAGAAAACGACGGCGGATTCCTCTTGACCAGCTGTCGATTGGCTTTACTGGAAGATTCATATTGACGCTGTTTCGAGGCAATCACCTTCGATTCCGGTAAAAAGGTGCTAAGCTTTCGTCCTTCACATGACGGACATCATCAGAGCGAGGTAACTCGTTAGCTTTAATTTTGTTGTGACGATGTTACTTCGCTCTGATGATGTACGTCATATGACGGACGAAAGCTTAGCACCT